CTTAGTAGCCTAGGCCAAGGGGGTCGAGCTAGTTTGTGCCAAGGAGAGAGGAGATTGGGTGTTCACTATAGCACTAGGGTACAGATAGCAAACAAAGAGGTGCACCACCTATAAAGTTATTATCTACACTATAGCTAGAGCTACATGCAGGTATAAGAAAATAATTGCGACATCCCCCCATAACTGCATGCAGGAATAGCTAAGTGCAGAACACAACCTGCAGGGGTACACCACAGACAGAGAAAACAGCAACAACAAGCAAGGCAACAGAGCAGGTACAGCAGCAAAGGGGCAGGAACTCCTGCCACCCCTTTACTCTCCTCCCCCCCCCCCCCCCCCCCCCCAACAGAGGGTGAGGGGATGGCGGTTGGTTGGTCTCACACCCGCCACCCCAGTGCCACTCCCCTGGATACCCCACACCCTCACACCCTCCCCCCCAGCGGCAGCTGCAGCAGTGGGAACGAAAGGAGGAGGAGAGGAAGGGAAGCACACCACCCATCACCCCCACACCCGCCACCCCCGGACCCTCCCCCCCGCGGCTGTAGGGAGACGAAGGAGGGGGGGGGTGGGGGGGCGGGGATAAAGCCGCAGAGCGGCTATACAGGGTCGGCGCGGGTAGGGCAGGGGCGGTTGCAGCGAGTGCAGGCGCGGGGTGAGGTAGGGGCGCCATCGCGGGCGCCAGGGGCGGGTCTGTAGCGGCTCAGGGCACCGTCCCGGGTGCTAGGGGCGGGTCCGCGGCGGCTCAGGGCACCGTCGCGGGAGCCAGTGGCGGGTCTGCGGCGGCTTCGACCACCGTCGCGGGCGCCAGAGGCGGGTCTACGATGTTGGTGCAACCCTATGGTTTGCACTCGGCTTGTTGTCCGTGTGCATGCATGTGTGTGTGTATGGAATGGTATGAGGGCATGGGATAATATATATTTCATGCTTATAATTGTGTATGAATGTTGAGTCATGATGTCGAGTGTGTGTGTTGAGTCAATAGCGATTTATCGCTAGACGCGTGTTACGCGGTCGTTTGTGTCTCGCGCGCGGTTTTTATTTTGTCGTGCGCGGTTTCTATTTTGTCCTGTGTCGAACGTTCGGTGTGTCGCAGGTGTGTGCAGCAGACCCATCAAGAACTCAAGGATGAGTTTGTGATGAAGAGCCCGAGCCTTGGTGTCAAGCCTCAAGTGATTTCGAAGCTCGCCAAAAGGGTACACCTCAAGATATTGAAGATAGTTACATTACTTTGTGTAGTGTAACATTTCACTTGGTGTAGGCCCTAGTGAAGGGTAGTTTCGAGACCCTTCGTGGTTGGGGACAGTGTGGCACTGTTCCACATCACTGTACCTCGGCTCTTGGGGTTTGTAGGAGCTGGGAGTCATTCCCAACTCGTAACTCTTCATATCTCTTCCTATTTTGTGTTCTAAGACTATAGTGGCTGCCATAGTGCCGTTCGTTCAAACCGACACTGTGTCGTCAATACTTGGTGAAATTGTGCGATCTAAATTGCCTATTGTAGGCGACGTTAAGACGCTCCAGATCCAAGTTGAATCAGGTCATTTGAAGTTGTGACCAGAACGCTATGAACGTTTGAAGCCGCTGTGCAGAAATCCGGCTGTGCACTCTATCTTTCGTTTTAGGCACATTGGAGCCTATTGTGACTATAACATACGATGGCTCAGGGCACCGCCGCGGGCACCAGGGGCGGGTCCGCGGCGGCTCGAGGCACCGTCGCGGGCGCCAGGGGCGGGTCCGCGGCGGCTCAAGGCACCGTCACGGGCGCCAGGGGCGGGTCCGCGACGGGCAGAAAAAACGTCACGCGCCACCCGGGCATGGGACAGAACGAAAATCGCCACGCGCCCGAGGCGCGCGACCGGAAAAACAGCAACGGAAGCGAGAGGCTGGCCCACAGGCCAGGACTTAACAGGCTCTAAAGCCATGTCACAACAGTAAGGAATGAGAATGGTAGGTAGTTAGGTTTAAGTGGGCCTAGGCTTAGTAGCCTAGGCCAAGGGGGTCGAGCTAGTTTGTGCCAAGGAGAGAGGAGAATGGGTGTTTACTATAGCACTAGGGTACATATAGCAAACAAAGAGGTGCACCACCTATAAAGTTAATATCTACACTATAGCTAGAACTACATGCAGGTATAAGAATATAATTCTGACAACCCCACTACCATGCGTCGCGCTGTCCCGCGCACGCCCTTTTCTGCCCCGCGTCGCGCTGCTCTGCGCACGCCCTGCCTTGCCCCGTGTCGCGTTGCCTAGCGCACGCCTTGCCCTGCCCTGCCTCGCGTCACCCTGCGCCAACGCCCTGCCTTGCGCCAGCGCCCTGCCCTGCGCCAGCGCCCTGCCCTGCGCCAGCGCCCTGCCCTGCGACCGCCCTACCCTACGCCGGCGCCCTGCCCTGCGCCAGCGCCCTGCCCTACACCAGCGCCCTGCCCTGCGTCGGCAACCTGCCCTGCGTCAGCGCCCTGCCCTGCGCCAGCGCCCTGCCCTGTGCTTGCGCCCTGTCCTACGCCCGCGCTGCTGCCCTGCGCGTCGCGCCCTATGGCAGACCACGCGTCGCGCGCTAGTGCCCCGCGCGTCGCGCCCTACGGCAGCCTGCGAGTCGCGCGCTACTGTCCCGCGTGTCGCTCTCTGCTACAGCCCGCATGTCGCGCCCTGCTGCCCCGCGCGTTGCGCCCTACGGCAGCATGCGAGTCACGCGCTGCTGCCCCGTGCGTCTCGCTTTGCTGCAGCCCGCGCGTCGCGCCCTGCTGCCCTGCGCGTCGTGCCCTGCTACAACACGCGCATCGCGCCATGCTGCCCTGCACAGCGCGCACCGTGCTGCCCGCGCCGCCCAGGCCGAGCCGAGCCGCCCTACCCGAACCGATCCGCCCTGTTGCTCGTGCTACTGCTGCCACTGGTGGAGGTGTTGCTAGGAGTGCTAGATGTGATGCAGCCTAGCTTCACCGAGCCGCTCTGCTGCTCTTACTGCTGCTGCTACTCCTCGTGCTACTGCCTTCACTTCGTACTGCCCTAGAGGTCGCGCTCCTCCTAGCTTGCCCGCCATGAATTCACTATGTAGTAGCGGTGGGAGTAGTGACGGCGGTGGTGGCAGGAGTGGGATTGGTGGCGGCCATAGTAGCAGTCACTGTGGCGCTGTTTGGTGCGGAGTTTCTGGCGGTGGCCAGATGCAGCTACGGTGGCGTTCGACTCGTACGTCCCAGCAGCTTCGTGAGTGGCTTTACCAGCGTGGGACGCCTCCGAGTCCTGGTCGTTGCCCGTACGTCATTCGCACAGGTCGTCGAGCTGGTCAGACCTGTGGGATACCTAGTCACGCACAGTCCTGCTGCTTCGCATATTTGAGCGACGCCTGGCACAAAGATTTTGGCGACGAGGCTGAGCTCCCCCACTGGCTTGAGCTGCGTAGGTCGGGCGTTGATGTCTTTGCTTTGGACTATGACGCCATCCTTATTCGGGACCTGCAGAAGATACAGCCGGCGCCAGGGCGCAGTACTACAAAAAGTCGTTGATGGCGTACGGCGTTCTCCTACGGAACATGTCGTCGGCGAAGCAGTTGAGCAATCGATCGTACAAGACATCACCTGCTTTAGCCTTTGACGCTTGGCGCCACCTGAAAGGCGTGTACCAACCGAAAGGTTCGGTTTAATCGAGCCACCTACTCTAGCAACTACTGGAGACCAAAATGGCCCCTGTGAGGAGGCCAACAGCTACATTAATCACTCTCGGAGCATCAGCAGTCAAATCGCGAAGTTGGGAAGCAACATTTTCGAAGAGATTTTCATGAATTCCGTGCTTCAAGGGCTCGGCCAAGAGTGGCGGCTCTGCAAGGCGCTTCTCCGGCAGCCGCGATTTCCGCGGCGAATACATCCTGCTCACGGTCTACATCGACGACCTCCTCTACACAAGGTCAAAACGAAAACTGCTTCAGTAGTTCGAGAAAAACCTCGCGGGCCGCGTCGACATCACATGTAACCATGACGTGAAGCGGTTTCTTGGGCTGAACATCTCCTACTCGCCAGAAGCCATTCACCTTTCAGCAGCCAAGTATGCTGAAGAACTTGGCAAACACTTCAAGATTGCGCCTACATTGCTCTCCACGCCTTACAGCACCCCCGGACCAAGCCACAAACCTGACAACAAAGCCCTGTCCCCCGCTGGACTCCAAACTTACCAGCAGAAGTTGGGATGCCTGCTCTTTGCCTCCGTCACCGGCAGGAAAACAGCAAAAAATCTTATACGTACATCGCGTGCCAATTGACTCAGTACTCACGTAAACCAACGGCTGAGAACCTTCTAGATATTCAGAAGGCTGTGCAATTATTCATCTCCACGCCCAATGTCGGGCTCTGCTATTCCACAGTCCCAACTGCGTTCGTCAACCTCATCGGCTACGCTGATGCCGATCATGCTGCTGACCCCGATAATCGACGGTCCAGGACCGGCTTCCTATTTCTGTTGAAATCACAGACAGGAATGAATGAACTAGCAGCAGGATTGGAACAAGTAGGAAACCCTAATTGGATTGTACCATATAAGGGCTACCCCACAACACCTTACACAATAAGCAGCATATAAGTTTGACACACCCCCATAGGCAAAGTGGGGGAGAAAAAGAGGTCACAAGACCAATCAAGAAAGGCAAAGCAAGCTCAGGGTGGATCACGAAGTCACCACGCATTCTGAGTACAAGTAAAAGGCCACAAGACCAGCTCACATGCAGAGTTATGTTAAGGAGAACAAGCAGTACAATGATCACAACCTAGCAAGTGTAAGCATGCAGGTAGAAGTAGATAGATCACAGTAAAAGCAAAGTCAAGAGGTGAGCAAGTGAGGCCAAGTAGGCACAAGGCCTAGAACAGTACAAAAACGCTTATGATCACAAGGCTAATGTGCCTTGGTGAAGATATCAGCAGTGTTGGCCTGAGAGGCTACGTAAACAAGACGAAACAGACCACGCTGCTGCAACTCTCGAGCAAGGAAGTAGCACAGAGCGATGTGCTTCGTTATGTGCTATAGTTTGTGCTCCTGACACAAGGCAATCATGGCCTTGTTGTCGACGTACTGAATTGGAGGAGAACGAGGCGCCTCTCCTAAGTCGGTCAGCAGGTAGGTGAGCCAGCGTGACTCCTGTGCAGCCATGGCCCCTGCGTAGATCTCAGCCTCACAACTGGAGCTGAGAATAGAAGACGAGCGAGTATATCGCCACGAAACAGAACCGAAGCCAAGGCTGAATGTGTAACCCTGTGACGACCGCTGAGTAGCCTGGTCGTCAACCCAAGAAGCGTCTAAGTGCCCAATGAGGACAACTCGAGCCCGTCCTCCAAACACGAGCCCCATGCCCGACGTACTTCACAAGAAGCGCATCACCCTCTTAGCGGCCTTTTAGTGCTCTGGTCGGTGTCTCCCGGGCGCAACGTAGCGTGCCAGGATGCTAAGAGGGTAAGCAAGGTCAGGTCGAGTGCAGGTGATCAGGTACATGAGGCAGCCCACAAGCTCTGGATACGGGCCACTCAGCTCTACGGATTCATCCAAAGGCAGAGCTGAGAGCGAGTGACAGGTAGGCAGAGGAGTGGACTGTGGCGAGGAGTTCTTGAAGTCGAAGGGCTGAAGGACCTACTGCACATGTGTAACTGAGTCAAGGTAATGGTGTGTCGTGCTCTGTCCTGGGTGATCTGCAAGCCAAGATAGCTGCGCAGCTCACCCAGGTCTGTGCACGTGTGTCTCTTCTGAAGCTCCGACTTCACGTGGGCCAGTCCAGCAGTGTCAGCAGTGGCAAAAACCAAGTCGTCGACATACACGAGGATGTAGAACGGCGGCAGCAAAGTGTCACTGCGTAGAAATAGCGACGGGTCAGCAGTAGAAGGAGCAAACCCAAGAGCCGCAAGAGTCGTCCTCAGTGTGTCGTGCCACTCGCTTGGCGCCTGGCGAAGACCATAGACTGGCCGCCAGAGGCTCCACTGGGTACCAGGAGGAAACGATCCAGTGAAGTCAGGTGGGCGGAGCAGCCTGATCTCCTCGTGCAGGCTACCCTGCAAGAAAGCAGTGCTGAAGTCAAGAGAGTGAAGCTCGTAGTCACGCTGAGCGGCAATATGCAGCAGCGCCCAAAGAATGGTCATCTTCGGGGTAGGGGAGAAGGTCTCCAAGAGGTCAGCTCCCCGTCGCTGACTGAAGCCTCGTGCAAGACAGGTGGAGAACCCGGTGGCCGCTTCACCCCGAAAATCCACATGCCACTGACGATGTTCGCCCAAGGTGGGGGAACCTCGTCGACGTAAGTGCCTGAGGACTTCCACGAAGCCATCTCTACGTCCATGGCTGACTGCCACTGAGAGGAGTAGGGACCCTCTATCGCCTCTTCGTAAGAGCGCGGGGTAGGGATGTCCGGTGCATCCGAGTCTCCCTCAGGTGCAATCAGCATGGACACAAGATGAGGTATAGCAGCTGCAAAACACTCAAAGTCCTCTTGCCTGTCCTCAAGGACGTCCGTGCCAAGAGCACACTCACCCCCAACGGACGGAGGACAGACAGAATCGGACTCACCAACAAGGCTAGCGGCGTAGTCTAGACGACAAACGGCAGCAAAGTCAACCAGCTCAGCAACAAGAGCAGACGCAGCAGTGGACTCAAACGAAGGGTTAGTGACAACTGTGGCCAGGATACGCATGACAGTAGGACTAGCAGCGCGAAGGGAGTCAGACTCCGGGTCCGGGCCGTCAACAGGAGAAGACGCAGGAGGAGACGGTAGAGGGACACGCAGTGGAACAAAGGAAGGACGAAGTGCCATTTGGTGCGTGTAGGGGACAAGAGGAGGACGCTGACGCGGAACACGACGACCAGTGCAAACAGCGCGAACAGGCGACGCAGGACGAGACGCAGGCTCACGACGCTTTGTAAGACCTCCGGGCTGCTCAGTGTAAGGAGAAGGAGCAGGTAGTGGGGAGGCTGGCTGTAACTTTGGCTGGGACTGCACAGGCGGTGGACACAGTAAGGGAGAAGTAAGGTCAGTAGAAGGCGAGAGAACCTGCTGAAGTAGGGGAAAGAAGTACGGTCGTGGTCGCTCAGCGCCTCTAGAACCAGCATTGAGAGCACCAGTACCTCCACCAGCTCCATCTCCAGCTCCACCAGCACCTCCAGCAGCTCCAGCTCCAGCAGCACCTTCAGCTCCAATAGCTCCAGTACCTTCAGCAGCTTCAGTACCTCCAGTACGAGCACCTCCGGGACCAGGGGCTTCAGCACCTCCCGCAGCTCTAGCTCTAGCAGCACCACTATGGAGGCTCGAGCGGCGAGCAAACCACTCGCGCAGCTCCGGTGGAGAGAGCGTCTCCCGACGGGACAAGACACCCGGAGGACTTCCAGAAGACAAAGTACCCCCAGGCGTAGCACGCTCAGGCTCAACACCCCCAGGCTCAGCACCCCCATGCCCAGCACCCCAAGGCTCCGCACGCTCAGGCTCAGTACCCCCAGGCTCAGCACCCCTAGGCTCCACACCCCCACGCTGAGCACCCCCAGGCTCCGCACGCTCAGGCTCAGCACTTCCAGGCTCCGCACCCTCTGACTGAGCAACCCCAGGCTCAGCACGCTTAAGCTCAGCACTCCCAGGCCCCGCACCCGCAGGCGCAGCACCCCCGGACGCAGCACCTCTAGCAGCACCAGAGTCAACAGCTACCTCGACAGGCCCGACAGAGTCTACCTGGGACACACATGAGGGAGCACGACCCTAAGGGGTAGGGGGTTTACCCGAGGAGGACCTGGTGCGAGGAAGAGCAGCGGGGGAGGTAGAAGGGCAGTGCGGTAGGGGAAGAGACGGTAAAAGGGAACCGACTCGTCAAACGTGACGTCATGAGAGGGCAGGATACGGCTTGAGGTGGTAAAACTGCCATCCAGGCGCGTCAGGGTCAAAGCCAAGGAAGACACAGGGAACGGCACGGGAGGAGAGCTTGATCGCGAACGTATCGCGGACAAAGGCTCGACATCCCCAGACCTGGAACACCGACGCATCGCCAACCTCCCCCGTCCAACGCAGTGTGGGCGAGGTCTCCGGCAAGGAGACACGGGGCCAGAGGTTGAGCTGATGCGCAGCGTACTGAATTGCAAACGGCCACAGAAAATGGGGGGCAGCCGCATGGATCATGGAGGTACGAACGACCTCCATGACTAAGCCAATGCGGCGCTCAGCAACCCCATTATGCTACGGAGAGGCCGGAAGCGTGAACGTCTGGCAAATGCCCTCCGCACGACAAAAGGCCCTCAAGAGGTTGGATGAAAACTCACCACCTCTGTCAGAGTGCAGACGCAGGACGAAAAGGTCCGTCTCGAACCGCTCGCGGAGCTGGAGACAAACATCGCGGATCCAAGGGGTCAGAACATCAAGGACCTCCCACTTGCGGCGCAAGGGGAAGACCGTGGTGTAACGCGTGTACTCGCCGACAACTAGCAGAAAGTACCGCTCGTTGCCCTGTCCACGGACGCGAGCTGGGCCCCACACGTCCAGGTGAAGAGTCTGCAGGGGAGCCTCTGTCCGGGGAACGAGGAGGAGTGAGGAGCGGCACGCTGCTGCCCCTCGACATAGGGAAGGCAGGGAGGGGCAGGCGAGGGTGGGAGGGGAGATAGAGACCTGGGAAGACCAGAGAGAAGGAGAGGGGAGTTGCTGCCACGGGGGCGTGCCACAGAGGGGTGACCAAGGCGGTGGTGCCAAAGGAGCGTCTAGTGCGACAGGGCGCGACACGAGCAGGGGGCCGCAAGCTAACCTAACACAGACGCAGACCCACCTACCTGAGGAGACGCAGTATTCAGTGTGTACAGACTCGACCCAGGCTGACGGGTGAACGTGGCCAGGTGGCGGCTGGTCCGGGAGAACGTACAGATCGCCACACGCTGCCGTCCAGGAGTGAAGATGTCAACCCCCGCATCCTAGAGGAAAGCAGTGCTCACAGAGTTCATAGAGAACGAGGGGAGGTGGAACCCTGACAGTGACCCGGACGCGACTGCCGAACAAGGCATAACAGTGGAGGAACGTGCAAGGATTGGGCCCCCAGAGGGGTCAGCCAAAGAGACAGCAACAGGTGCAGAGAGCGGTGTGACTGTGGTACTGTACTGCCGCGAAAGAAACAACAGGAAGCACTTGAGTCAAACATGAAGGTATGAAGGGCCGTAACAGACGTAGTATCATAGAGAACAGACTCACCAACACCTAGAGCAGCAGACTCACTAGCACCTAGAGCAGCAGCCTCTATACCTGGGTCTGGCGGCATACACAGGTAACAGTCACCCTCAACTAACAGTCAATGCATACATGGCAGATATGATAGCATCAAAGTCTAGAGCAAAAATATCCACACCCTAATTAACAGCTCTGCCTAGTGAGGGAGCTCAGGCGCGTTTGGAAACTATGCGCGAAAGGCATCGGTAAGACGGGAGAAGCAGCGGTGCTACGTGTGAGGCTGTCCGCATGTCTGACTAGTGAGGTCACCCGTGCGAATGACATACGGGCAGCGACCTCCACCCCCAACCGCCCCACGCTGAGCAAACCACTCACGGAGCTCCTAAGACGAAAGGGGCTGACGCTGCTGCTGCCTCTGGCCACCTCCGAGGCCTCCCCTCTGGCTGGAACCACCCCGACCGCCACCACTCCCGCCGCCTCCACCCCCACTGCCGCCACCACCGCCGCCTCCACCACTCCCACTACTGCCACCACCGCCGCCACCTACACCTCCACCCCCACCATCACTACCTACTCCACCGCCGCCCCCTCCACCTCCTCCACCGCACCCACCACCGCCTCCACCTCTGCCACCCCCAACACTCCTGCCTCCCTTGCCCCTGCCGCTGCGGCGCCTCCCACTGGGGGCAGACGCGGCTCCTACCTCCTCAGCACGAAGGTAGTCAACAGCTGCAGAAGAGGCGATTGAGAGGAGAAGGGGGGAGGGCGTGCACCCCTCAAAGAAGGGAGTGCGAGGAGTGCCACAAGAAGCGCCTACAGCGACTATGCTAGTCTCAGCTGCTAGGAGGTGCTTCTCGACCAGATCGACAGTGAAGTCGGTGGGGTCAAGGGCGAGAAGGAGGTACGTAACATCTGGACCGTCAGCCGATGGCATCTGACAGCAGTAGTGACGAGGCGTGTGTCCAGATAGCTTCGTAACCGTCTGGAGTCGCATGATTAAGTTTTGCTGCAATAAATGAATGTACCCTGTAGAGTACATGACTAGCTAGGTCGTTTCGTATTCCATTCTGTACTCCTATTTATATCTTTGTATTTGCATGTTTTATATATCTCAATTATTTTAAATCCACTATGAACTGAGGCGAAGGGCCCACCACCACCACCAATCAGTTGTGTACGAACATTTCTGAGGATATCCGGTCGATCAACATCTGATCCCAGCACCCATTCACAAGAATGCTGGACTTCTTAATTCAATGTAGATGCTGTTTAGAACATATCCTCAGTTTCACATAAGATGGAATACAGAGTGTGAGCATCACAAACTTCTGCAGTGCATCAGGCTGTAACGCATTACTTCTTTGTACGGTCCTCGACTTGCGATGTACTACTGCATAACGGATCTTCATTTCATGTTGTGCTGATTCTTTTGCTCTCCCTCTGCATCCAATAACCCAGCCCATCCCCTAGAGCGGATCCACGTCCGACTGCAATCTGTAGGTCACATTGGAGTGATGTGCATCACTGACATCCAGTCGCAACATCACAACGACACCTCATTGCAAACAAGATCAACAAACATCTGGTTGCATACTTCGGTTAGGATGGGCGAAGAATGTTATACTTTGTTTTAGTTCGGTTGTACTCTTTATTGGGAATGAAGCGAAGCAGATCAGGTCGGATTTGATTGATACCCATTGCATGAGGCACCACTACGAATCGCGCCCGAATCAATGCCAATGTGGCGGTGATCCTTGGCCTCACTTGATCAAGATTCGCGAAATCAACACTTAGCTCAAACCATTCGTTCGTAAAGGATGTGGTAACTACTATCCCGCCTATTTTCGCCAGTCGCCTCCTCCCCACTCAATCGTCGCCCACCATTCGCGAATTGACATTCCTCGCCTCCTTCTCGCCCCTCACACCATCCACAAGGAAGCTCCAGACAGTTCCAGCCTCCTCGCCCCTTCGGGCTTTGATTGGTCCTCAGGCAGCTACTGCGCAGCGAGGTTTACCGTTTTTAGTCCCCTGGCTTTTCAGTTCTGAGTATTTAATTACGTGACGTAGCTGCCTTCTTCACCACGAACAACCCTCAGTCGCGTTTATTAAGCTCCTTCTGCCAGCCGCGAATCCAGCGAAGGGCGTAAAGTGTTTCAGCTAGATAGTGAACATATATCTACTTTCACACGCTTAGAAGAAGTAACACGGCCATGGTTTTCTCAGAATCAGAGACCGCGTGCACTGCAACTATGACGGTCCGCGCGACGCGATCCCAATCCCACACCACGTGCTCAGGACGCAAGCGGAAGAATGCAGCCGTTAGTACTGAGTCCGAATCACCACGTTTCCGTTCCGAAAAAATGCTACGTTTGTGCGACTCGTCCAGCGACTGTGCTCGACCGGCGACCAATATCTCCACCCGATCCGCGTCGTCGACTTTTCTCGAGCGCGACGAGCGCAGGCCATTCGCGGACAATGTGTTTGGGCCGTCCGTACATTGTATCGAGACATCTTTTGAGGTGGACTCCGAAATAATCGGCTCGGGACAATTCGGTACAGTTCGCCGCTGCGTACACCGTGAAACCGGGTTACCCTTCGCATGCAAGTCCATCTCGAAGCTTCAACTCTTGTCGGAGGACGCGCGGGACAAGCTTCGGCGGGAGGTTCGCACGATGCAGAAAGTCGCGGACCACCCATGCGTGGTGCAGCTTCGCGGAGTTTTCGAGGACGCAGATTCAGTGCACCTGGTCATGGATCTGTGCGGCGCGGGCGAGCTTTTCGGCGTGATCGCCCAACGCGGCTCGTTGACAGAGGAAGAAGCGGCGCTGGTCCTCTGGCAGCTCGCATCTGGTGTCGAGTTCTGCCACTCGCGTGGCGTGCTGCACCGCGACTTGAAACCGGAGAATATTCTTCTAAGCCTGGAAAGCTTTCCCAATAACTCAGCTTTCTCACGCGAGAATGGAGCTTGTAACGGAGCCGACTGTAACGAGGGCGACGCCGACTTCCTCGCTGTCAGAATCGCGGATTTTGGGCTCGCGATCGAGCTGGAAGCACACCAAGTAGCTCGCGGCGCCGCGGGATCTCCAATATACGTTGCTCCCGAAGTCCTAACAGGCGAATACGGTTACCCGGCGGATGTCTGGTCGCTGGGTGTTCTTCTCTTCGTCATGCTAAGCGGTCGCCCTCCTTTTTGGGGAAACTCAAACCTGGAAATTTTCGAGGCGATCCTGCACGCGCATGTTAGCTTCCCTGGCGGTTCCTGGGAAGGAGTGTCTGCAGAAGCGAAGATGCTTATAATGTGTATGCTTCAAAAGGACCCCGCGCGCCGACCGTCCGCTGCGAAGGTGCTGACTCACCCCTGGGTGCAGCGGCACTTGCGGGGAGAGGACCTTATGGGTTTTGGAAGAACTGGTTTGGGAGGATGCACGGGTACTCGCTTGGAGCAGGTCTGCTTATAGTGTGGGTACATTCCGGCAGATAGCATGCATTTTCTGTACATAGTATCTTTTTAAATCAAGGGTGAGAGCAATACGACCCACATGTGGAATACATTGGACGTTCACACAGAAATGAAATACCACAGAAAGTGCTACGTAATACACAGGCACAGATCTTGCCATAAAACCGGACACACAATCTATATCATATTAGCACACACAAACTTGGGGATACAACCAGCTGCGATCGTGATAAGACTGACAGTTAGTTCCTCGAGCAGATTATACTGTATCTACAAGTCATCAGATTCCACAAATAGACAACTCAAGCTCGACATGTTTACACCCCGACCTCAAAATTCTCTAAGCAACTGTTGCTGTGGCAACCATACTTGGTTCCACAGTCCCCCCATCACTCCCCCCTGCTTCCCCCACCCCCTCTTCTCCATTCAATTCGCCCTTTCCTACAGCACCCACACCTTCTACCACACTCTCTCTCCCCTGCTCCAAACCTACCTCTACTCCTCCCTCCTCTCCCTCCCCTCCAACCCTCACCTCTCCCCCTCCCTCACGACTCTTCACCGAACCCTCCCCCGCCCCTTCCCCCTCCGCTTCTCCCCCTTCTCCTGTACCACCCCCCTTGCGCCCCCCCTGTTTCTTCCCCAGCATTCCCGCCCCTACCATCCCCCCTGCCGACACCGCCCGACCAAACAGCCACGCCCACGCCTCCACTGTTGTTTGCACCGGTCCTGGCGCCTTGCGAGAACGCGGGGAGGGCGACGGAGATGGGGAGAGAGAGTGTGTGTGGGTGGGCACGTGGGTGGAAGTGGATGGGGAGGTGAGTTGAGTTTGTTGGGCTTGTTGGGTTTGTTGGGCTAGTAGGTTGGTTGGGCTTGCGAGGTGGGGTGATGGTTCTGGCCCCTCTGCATGCCCCTCTGCATGCCCCTCTGAAGGGTCGGGTGGAAGGACTAGAGGAGCCGACTTTGGTGGCCCTTTTCTTGTGCGAGCTATTGCTGCTGCTGGTGGTGGTGGTGGTGGTATTTCTGCCGCTGTTGCGACTGGTACCCCTGCTTTTGTCTCCTCCTCAGCTCCTCCTACCCCATCTCTACTTACATCACCCCTCTCCTCTCCCTCTGCTCCCTTACTCCCCTCGTAGCCCTCCCCACTCTCTCCGACCAGTCCTGGCCCCTTCACGTTCTCCCCATCATTCAGGCTGTATCGGCGCTTGTGCTTCTGCTTCTGCTGCTGCTCCTCTTCCAGCTGCTTTTGTTCCTGATGCTGCCCTTCCTTCTGTTCCTGCTCCTGCTCCTTCTCCTGCTTCATCTGCTCCTTTCCCTGCCCCTGTTCCTGCTCACGCTCCTGCTGATGCTGCTTCTGCTTGGCAGCTGCAACAGCAGCGGCCAGCCTCTTGGGCCCTATAACGCGGATGGAGTGAGCCGCCAGCCTGTGAGCACGCTGGGCCGCACCTATCGACTGGTTGATAAACTGGAACGAGCCTGTTCCCGAACCTGACGCTGAACCTGATCCCGAGCCACTGTTTGGGCTGTGGCTGCTGCTGCTGGTGCCTGTGCTGAGGTGGCTGTGTCGCCCGGGAGTGGTGGACGCGGAGAGAGGGGAGGAGTGTGAGATCGGGGAACGGATGGGGGATCGTGTGGGCGGCGTGAGAGGGAGGCGCGAATCGGAAGAGTGTGATAAAGAGGAGGGGTATGAGGGGGTGGATGGGGAGGGGGAAGGCGAGGTGGAGAGCGATGGGAGGCCAAGGCCTAGCCCAAGACCTAGGACTTTTTTCTCCCTGGGCTCCCGAGGCTGCCCTTCTCCTCTGCTATGACTTTCCTCTGCTTTCTTCTCCTTCTTCTCCCTTTTCTCCCTTTTCTCCTTCTGCTCCTTATCCCCCTTATCGCGCGGCTCTTTCTGCTGCGATTTGTGCTTGTCCATAAGATGCTCCTTAAAGGTCTTATACTCTCGAAACTCGCCTCCTCCTCCCGTTGCCGAACCAGTCGTCGACGCGCTTCGGAAAACACCGAACCTCCTTCGAGCTCTCCCTGCTCCACCCGAGCCATCTGCCGGACCTTCCGCCGAGCCTGATACCGGACCAGAATTCCCCGATGCTGCTGTGAAACCTGTGTTAGCATCGGCTGCGTCATAATCAGGCGAATCTACAGTATCCCCAGTAGTGCAAAAAACAGGAAACGGAGGGCCCTTTATAGTCACTAAAACCCCTCTTCTCCCATCATTACTGTCTGATTTGGGAATACGTGGGTGGTACTCTTTCTCCCCCCTGCCTGACCCCATTGCAGGCTCGGAAACAGGCTCGGAAGGGTGTTCCGAAGCTGGTTCGGATGGAGGTTCGGAAACAGGTTCGGACTCAGGTTCGGAAGGAGGAGGGGCTGGGTAGTCCTCCTTGGCTTGCGGCTGACGTGGCGAGACTGGAGTGCCAAGTGGATGGGCCCTATCAGAGGCTGTCGCTGCTGATTGGCTGGAAGCTGCTACAGCCGCTACAGATGCAGCTGTACCAGCTGCGTGAGAGGACTCAGCTACAGGCGAAACTCCATCAGTAGGGATGCTAAGAGCAGGAGGGTGAGCGGAACGAGGGTCAGCGGAAGGCGGGTTGGTGGAGAGAGAGGGAGTGGGCGCGAGTGTGGGGTCGCGTGGCAGAGCGGACGTAGCAGAGGTTTGCGATGGCTCAAAAGGCTCGGAAAGCAATGGCTCGGAAGGCAAAGGCTCGGAAGACATAGGCTCGGAAGGCAAAGGCTCGGAAGGCATAGGCTTGGAAGACAAGGGCATGGGTGAGGAGGAGGTTGAGGTGGACTTTCTGGGGAACCAACGCATGAACCGCCCCATCCTTGTGCCGCCGCCGCCGCCGCCGCCGCTGTTGCTGTTGCTGTTGCTGGCGCTGGCGCTGATGCCGGTGGTGCTGCCAGTGGTGGTGGTGGAGCGAGCTGCGATTCCGTCCGTGCTGCTGCTGCGATTCATGGCATAGCGTGGATTGGCCTCGGCAGTGGCTGTGTCAAGATCAGCAGCAGCAGCAGCAGCAGCAGCAGCAGTAGCATCAGTACCAGCATCAGCAGGAGCTATACCATTCTCACCGCCACCGGCGCTGTTGCTGCTGCTCCGCCCGCTCACCCCCCCCACCTCTTCGCCCAGACCCTCCGCCCACCCCCCAGTTCCGCCTCCCCCTTCACTCTTCCGCCGCCTGCGCCACCCTGCTTTCTCCCCTTCCCCCTGCGCCCCCTTTCCCGCGGACACCCCGTGACTGGGGGACCTTGGGGGCGTTACGGGGAAGGGAAGGGTCTGGGAGCGGGGGGCGGTGGGGGAGTGAGGGGGCGTTGGGGAGCGGGGGGGCGTGGGGGTGGAACGGGGGGGAGTGGGGGAGGAGCGCGGGGGGGTGCGGGCGGAACGAGGGGGAGTGAGAGCTCGGCGCAGCATGCGGGACGGGGAAGGCGCTCGCCCAGAGAAGCGGCTCCAGATACTCGACTGCTGTGACTGTTGTGACTGCTGCTGCTGCTGCTGCTGCTGCTGCTGCTGCTGCTGCTGCTGCTGCTGCTGCTGCTGCTGCTGCTGCTGCTGCTGCTGCTGCTGCTGCTGCTGCTGCTTCTGCGGCTGAAGCTCCAACTGTGCGTCGCCCAACGAATCAGCTCCCAGTATTTCCACCTCCAGCCCCTCAGAACCTTCTTGCCCCTGCTGTCCCTGTCCCTGTCCCTGTCCCTGTTCTTGCTGCCCCTGCTGCCCCTGCTGGTGCCCCTGCTCCTGCTCCTGTTTCGTGTCATCCGAGTAGGAGAACGAACCCGAAGGGCCCAACTCAGCACCTTCCCCCTCTTGCCCCTGCCCCTGCCTCTGTTCCTGCTCCCCCTGCCCCTGCCCTTGCTCCCCCGACTGCTGCTGCTGCTGCTCACTCTTGTTTCCCACCTCGCTCTGCTTTCTCTCCTCACTCATCCCCGCTACTAGCCCCCCCCCCAGCCCGCCGCCGGCGCGCTGTTTCTCCTTAATCCGCGTCTCCCGCCACCGACCAATGTCGGGGGACGCGCACTCCGCCGCCGCCGCCGCCGCCGCCGCGGCCGAACCTCCCGCTGCCTCGGCCATCAGCGGGGTGCCGAGCCACGGCGGGAGGTTCGGGGCCAGGCTCGGGAGTTCCCGGACCCCGACCGAGATGTCTACTGACTGGCTGTCTCGTGCTGCAGCTGCTAATGTCATTGGTGCGGTTGCTGCTGCTGCTGCTGCTGCTGCTGCTGCTGCTGCTGCTGCTGCTGCTGCTGCTGCTGCTGTTGCTGTTGCTGTTGCTACAATTATTTTCTCCCCTCCTTCACCCCTTTCTGCTCCAACCCTAGTTTCCTCATACGTAACGCCCTCCGGCTTCTCGCCCCCCCCTTCCCCGCTCCCCTCATCCGCCGTCGCCCCTTCCGCCCCGCCTTCCTGCCCCTTCTTCTCCCTCCTCTCCCTCTCCTCCTTCCTTCTCTCCCGCTCTCTCCGCCTCCTCGCCACTCCCGCCGCTTCGTCTTCATCCTCGCTACTACTATCTCCATCACTCCCCGGCAGAGGCGGCGGCTCCTGAACGGAAGTAAAGTACGCATCGGGCGCGTCGGGATAGGGATCTAAGGAGGGTAGGCCACTACCCGCCACGCCACGATAGCGCGCTGACGTGGATGCCATGGATTGGCTGATGGCTTCGAGAATCTCGCCCGACAGTTCTTTCGGAGCGGGTTTATGGACGTCCTTAAACACGTCGCCGTCGCCAACGGTCGTGTCTGACGTGGCACGCGACGTCGACGTGGCAAGCGACGACGACGTGGCTGACAAGATCCCTGTTTCCGCGTCGCCATCGTCCGAGCTTTCCGCTATACCAGAGGAACCTTCTGAGGTGCTGATGAGGCTGCTACCAACGAGGATTTCGTTACTAGCATCCCCGCTTGCTGAGAGAATCTCCTTGTAAAAGGCTCTGTGCAGGATGGCGAGTAGCGAACAAGCCTGGTCTTTCGCGAACGGGTGGTAACCGATGAGGTAGCAGACAAGGCCGGACGACCATCGCTGGAACAAGACCAAGAGGGTCCCGTGACCCTGCGAGCAGGAAATTGACCGAAAAAATAAATAAAATCAACAAACGGAGGAAGGTGAGGGATGGATAGCCTCCTCTCTCACGTAAAGGAGTTTGGCAGGGAAGGAAAAAAGAAAGCCAATCCGATGCTTTACCGAATGGAATAAAAGGTAATAATAATGAAAAAGCATTACAAACTTTACCAAAGGGTTTACCGACGAACACAGATGTTGAGAAAAGAAAAGATAAAGAAAGGAAAGTTGATCGTATCGTCGTTTATATTTAGAATCTATGCCTATGAACACCAAGCAGGCTTACCATTCGAGTCCCATCAAAACGCCTGAGTCTCGCATTGTAACGCAAACTAAAAGAGTAGCACGTTTGACTCCAGCCATGCACCAAAGGAAACCCGTGTTTCGAGGGTCAACAGAATCGCGGGTATAAAGACGACCTTTGAGATACCTCACAAGTCATTATGAGGGTCCACCAAATCAAGCCACGTACCAGAGAATACTGGGAGACATGCGCAGGAATGGCGGAAAATGCGCTACACATAGGATCTCGAAAGACGTCAGCTTCCCTGCCATACTCCGCTATAATCGCGCCGTCCTTCGCGATACCTATGTACGAAATCAGTTCCACCTCCTCCATGTCTCTCTGTCAATAACTTTTTGTCCTCAGATGGAACAACTGCCATCAACCGTAATTTACAAAAAAACGTTTGCCACCTAGAGTAAAACTCTCACCTAAGGGCGCGTAACCATTTTGCACCCGACGGCTCGAGCTGCGGACGGTCCGTCGTGGCGAAATGTAACTAGATTCGCTGATTATCGTTTAGGTCTTCGCGGAGGTGTTGGCGACGTCGCCAACCTAACGGACTGTCGTGACACTTTTTCACATTTCCAACACTCCGCTTTGTGAACCGTGGACTGTCCGAAACCCAAACGGACGGTCCACCATTTCTGGCTAGGTATTGGTGGGCGAATTTTAATGTACAGTAAATCATACCGATTCGCCAACGAAGCTAATACCGTAAATGTCGCGAGGTAAGTTACGAATATACAAGGCCTGTTATGAATGAACTTGCAGAGTGCGCAGTAAAACGAATAACGAGAATGACTGATCACTGAATTACTGAATGACGAGGTACAATGAGAAAGGTACGACTAAATAGGGGAAGTCCTAGCTAGGCGGAGAGGTTGGGCGAGGATGGCTCGGTGATGGTTGCGATTGGAGCGGAGGCGACTCGGGAGTGGTTCGGTGCGACGAAATAGGAAGGACAGGTTCGTCGCGTGACCCTCGGGATGGCCTCGCTAACGAGTGCCTCAGTAAGGATTCTGTAAATCCTTACAAGGCCTCTAACGAGGCTACAGTGGTCGCAAAAATCAACAACACCAAAAAAGTGTCACATTAGCCTTTGGACAGTCCGAAGTTGCAAAATTTTGATTCGGACGGTCCCGTTTTCGAGAATAGAACCGTCCGCTTCGTTCTAAGCGGACTGTCCGTCGAAAACGTAAAATGCAAAATGGTTACGCGCCCTAACATCAGTTATCGTTGGAGACAACCAGCCCTGCTCTCAATGAAGTAGACATGATGCCCAGCCACTGCGCGTGAATTTGCCTTTCCCTTTTCAGAAACTCTGCACTCGTGCTTTTTTCCCAGTCAGTTGCACCGAGGGTATATGCACGCGGATCAACTTGCATATGGGCGAGAAAACGCCAAAGTATGAATCCTAGGCGCAAAACAAACCATGCTGACCCGGGTTGTTCTTGTTTCTTGGCCAGAAACAGACATAAACCCTAAACCCTGAACTAACAACAACACAGGCCCACCAACATTGTTTTGGAAAAAACAAACGAGTTACAACCTGTGTTTTTTTAGAAGCACATCAACACCCTGGCGAAATAAAACGAACTGGGCGAAATGTTCAAAATGTTTATAAGCCCAGAGCACAACCCAAGTAGGGAGAACTCAAACGAGCATCAGGTGTACTGTAAGAGCAAGCGAAAGAGCCAGCAGCAGGCCGTAGTATGACAACAGAGCTGCTATAAGCCACAGATACGCTCCCAACACACGCTTGTGGATAAGGTGGAGGAACCATCACAAAAGCAACTTCCACGAGCAGAGACCTTCAAATGGAGGAATTTACCCTTGTCGCAAAATGCCTTTGCAGTGCGTACACCCTGTTTCGTGCCACACTGACATCCGCCATATGAACCCATCGCTTTGTGTGACTGCACCAATCCCAGAATGGTGCTAGCACATTGTGTTCACGCACAATCAGCTCTGCCAACTTGGTTGTGACTGCCCTTGACTTTGACCGGCCAGAAAGTGAGGCTGCATCTGGACAGCCGTGAACACGTACGAAATCGTAGCAAACCCAGCAGCTGAGGTGTCGAAAATCCACATGCAACGCCAGAGACTGGTCCATTCAATTTTGTCAAACGTTATTATCCCACTGATGCATCCGTGCCACGTGTGGTAATCCACAACGCCAGCCTGCTACGTCAAACCCGAAATGTAAACTCGGAAATTGAAATCGGAGAAATCCGTCGCAATTCCAATCCATTCGACAATGGCGACTCGGCATGCGACATTGAACACCGATAAGAATTGAGCGACTCTTACACTGCAACAGCCAGAGAGGCTTGCGCCACACAATGGCTCGCGTTTCTCTCACTCGCTACATGAAACGGGCAATCTGTCTGCATCAGCAAGCCAACAAGACACTAACGCACGAGGACCTTTGCGAGTGGACTGCAAAGAAATTCAATGTCGTACCATCGCGCACAACCATAACCAGGGTGTTGCAAGTCAAGGCAGAATGGCTGCAGGATCGGGGAGATGAGAACGCCAACGAGCGACGCGTTCGCAAGGCACTCTACCCTGGTTTAGAGCTGCGTTTATGCTGCTGGATTAATTCAGCAGCTGCTGAGGGCTTACCATTGACTCTCGCAGTAATTCAACTCCGCGCCAAGCAGCTTGCACGAGAGATGCCCGACATCCCTCCATCCTTCAAGTGTTCTATCGGATGGGTGGTGCGGACACTTAAGAGGATGGGCCTGAAATGTCTCATGCGCAAGGGAGAAGCAGGATCTGCTGATATGGAAGCAGTTGATGCGTGCCGTGAGAAGCTGCCACAACTTCTACTCCGGCTTCGAATCACTCTAGAAGATTGCTACAACTTTGACGAAACTGCTCTCTACCCGGCTCAAATTCCACGACGGACTCATGCACGTGAAACGCTTGCAGGCGGCAAGGGTTGCAAGGAACGCCTCACCGTTGCACTGCTGTGCAATGCAGACGGCTCCGACATGTGGAGGCCTCTTGTGATAGCAAAAGTGCAGAGGCCTAGGGATTTTGGTCGCGATTTCAACGTCGAATACCATGTGAAATGGAGGTGGAATCGTAAAGGCTGGATGAACACTGAGGTGAGCCCCTTCAAATATATGGATTCGCATTCCGCTCTTTACATACGCATTTTGCATCCGTGCGGTGATTATGTCGTACAACTACTGCTAATTCACGTGTCATTTTGTGACCCCCAGCCCTTCAGGACATTCATGGAGAACGTCAACACGACATGCTACGCTCAGGGACGCCAAATTGTCGTGCTCATGGATAATGCATCGTGTCAAACTTATATGCTATGGTCTGTGTAGACTGTTAGTGGGGTAGACAATATGGGGTACAACACTTTTAGGTTTTCCTACTTGTACCCCACCTGTTTCCTAGTGCACACATTCCTCGTTCTTTCACATTGGTATAGAGCAGGTTCCCTAGTGGGGAAACGTTTCTAGGGCCCACCGAATATCGATTTTTTTTCCTAGCCCGGGAGCGCGCTTCGCCCCTGCCCAAGTCGCGCCCCGTGTGCCTACCCTCACCGTCGCGTCCCCTGCCCTTAGTGGCCCGTCGCGCTCCCTTATGGCCCCGTAGCGGCCCCTCTCACGGCCTCTCACGGCCCCTTCACGGCCCCTTCGCGGCACCTTCGCGGCCCCCTCGCGGACCCTTCGCGGCCCCTTCGCGGCCCCTTCACGGCCCCTTCGCGGCCCCTTCGCGGCCCCTTCACAGCCCCCTCGCGGCCCCCTTGCGGCTCCCTTCGCGGCCCCTTCGCGGCCCCGCCCCGCTGCCCGTAGCGGCCCCGCCCTGTCGCCAGTCGCGGGCCCCCGCCCCGTCGCCAGTCACGGCCCCGCCCCGTTGCCGGTCGCGGCCCCGCCGCGTCGCCCCCGCCTCGTCGCGTCGCCCCTGCGGGACCCGCGAGGACGCGCTCCTGGCGTCGCGACGCCCCTACTGGACCCGCGTGGC